AAATAAAATAAATAACAAACCATCACATGTGTGCTGGCACATGCCCATAAACCCAGCACTCAGGAGGCTGAGACAGGAAGGATCACTGTGAAATTCGAGGCTGGCCTGGGCTACATAGTGAGTTCAAGGCCAGCCTGAACTACATAATGAGATCTTATCTCAAAAACAAACACACCAAGGGATTTAGCTCAGTGGCACCACACCTGCCTCACAAGCACAAGGTCCTGAGTTCAGTTCCCAGTTTCCACGAAACAAACAAACAAAAAATTAAAAAGATTTTCTTCTTCATAGCCTCTAAGTGCCAGGGTTCTTTTTGATACCAGGGATCAAACTCTGGACTTTGTGCTTTTAAGGCAGGTAGCAGAACCACTGAGCTAAATCCCCAGCCCATGCATTTTTTTTTAGAGACCATGTCCCAGTGCACATCAGGATGTGTGAGCAGAGCAGGTCATGAGGGACAGGACCACAGGTTTCCTGCTGAGCTGTGTCTCTGTTGTCAATGACAGCCTCACCTTCCTCAGCCCTGCCCAGCTGACTGTGGCTTTTGTTAGCTGCTTTGCTCAGAATAACAACAACAACAACAAAAACTCTTTGGTGTGATCTGCAGTCTCTTTTGCTTTAAAAGTCCAGCTAAACTACCATTTCCTTCTGGCTAAACATTATCTGTTGTATGTTCCTGTTACTTGGGTGTGAATGACAGTATCTCATCTGTGTGTGTGTGTGTGTGTGTGTGTGTGTGTGTGTGTGTGACTCACTGTGTAGTGCAGGGTGACTTTGAGCTTGCTATGCAGTCCATGCTGGCCTCGAACACAGAATCCTCCTGCCTCAGCCCCAAGTGCTGGGATTTCAGGCATGTGGCACTACACCAGCAATAGTATCTCATGTTCTACCCCTAACTCTGTCTCCAATTATCTGGGTGATTGGGAGGAAGTCCATTGCCTGGCTGGGCCTCAGTGTATTAATATCTGTAAAATGGGGATAATTTGATAGATGAACTCCATCCATCAGAAGCTCTGATAATCAATGTTTAATTCCTTGCTCCCTTTCTCCCCTGTTGTGTGAACTTGAGCAAATTACTTAACCTCTCTGAGCTTCTGTTTCCCAACTACTGTATAAAATAAGAATTAGTTATAGTATCTACCCCATAAGAATGTTATAAAACTTGAGTTAGAGTGCAGCTTGAGGTACACATTTGTTAAAGTTGGTTTCCATTTTAGTCATCAAATGAAGCTTCACATCATTATGTATGAAGGAATCAGAGTTATCTTTATTCTAAGACCAATGCTGCTGAGGAGAATGCAAGTTTCTCACTGCTTATCCTAAGTGCAGGCATCATAGGACCACTGTCTTTGGAACTGTGGGGAATAGGAACTCATTCAGGGTTGTTAGAGATGCTTTAGTGTGCAACACTGGAAGGAAGTATTTACATCATCATTTTAAAAATAAATAATGGAATAATAACAGAAACCAGAAAAAAAAATCTTCATCTTTAAGAAGCTTAATTTTACTCTTTTATCAGCAAGTTCTCTTTACCCTGAAGAGAGAAATTCTCTTCCCGTGCCACTCAAAACACCAGAGTATCCTGGAGAGATCACCCATGCTAGGCAGTCTACCCCTGAGCTACATCTCCAGCCCCCAGTCTGTCCTCATGGATGCACCACTTTCACATGACTGATGAGGTGAGTCGGGCACAAGGAGAGTGCCTGCTGGTGCTCCAGGAAACAAAATGCTAAAGCCTTCGCAGCCCTGTTCTTAAGAGGCTGTTAAGCCATGGAACAGCAGTGCCTTTCTGCAGTGAGACTGGAGACCTGGACGTTTCACTAAAACAGTGACTATGAGTTAACATTCCGTGTCATAGCATGGCGTTGCTTTCCGCAGAACAAATGATCTGGGAGAGCAAGGTGGAAGCCAGTGTGGGTCTTTTGTGACTTCCCTTCAAAGTCACACTCTACCTTCAATATCCTGAACAGTTCAGTCTCATTCACTGTGGGAGGCAGTTGCATGGGTCATAAATACCTGGAGGCAAGAATCCCTGGGAACTGTCTGGGAAGCTGACTACCACAGGTGCTGTTTTATAATTTTTAGGGAACTGGGGATTTAGCTCAGTGGCTCTGCCCCTGATTCACAAGCACAAGGTCCCAAGTTTGATCCCCAGTACCAAAGTAAATAATATATATATATATAAATTGTATATATATATATATATATT